AAAATTTCCTGAAGGACACAATATTAAATACTAGGCTTTGATTTAATTTCCTGCAATTTTTATTCTTGTATATTACATTTTGATTTTCTGTGATTGCATGTGATCTTTGTGTTTTCACTGATACCACCATAACCAAAAACAGATTTTACACTATTACCAATAACAATCTTAAGGCAATTAAATGTTGATAATTGTAGACACTCTACCCAGAAGAGTAAAGATCTCATAAACTAGGTTCAAAGAGAAAATCAAGTGATGATTGACGGATAAGCACTATAAATTTTTTTCAAAACTCACACTTATTCCTAGATAAGCCACGAGAACAGAGGTAATCCATTCTATCTTGAGAGACAATTGTCCATGAATTTTGGACACCGCTGGTTCTGCGGGTGTATTAGAGAATACGCCATTGTAATATTCTCACTGAAACGGCTCTAACTTCACACTTATATAGGTGATTTATGGCGGTCCATATCATCTTACACCATCCGAACAGATTGGAATCAGAAATCATTAAAAGCCTACTTGCTTATCGGTCAATCATCACTTATTTTTTCTTTGAACATAGTTCATAGGATCTCCGTTCTTCTAAGTAGAGTGCCCACAATGATCAACATTTAATGGCCTTAAACACATTCCTTTCGATAAACTATACATCAACTCTCTAGTTACACCTTTTGTTAACGGATCCGCTATATTTTCCTTTTACTTTATTGAGTCAATTGTAATTATCTCACTATAAAGCAATTGCCTTACTGTATCATGTCTTCGAAGAATATGTCGAGACTTACCATTGTACATAACATTCCTTGCTCGTCCAAGTATAGCTTGACCATAACAATGTATGCAAACTGATGAACTGGAACTATCTCAATCTCATTACATTACCAAGATTCTTGAAAAAATCAAGAATCAAGAAATTCAATTAGTCAAGATGCCAGTAGATGCAAGTATGCATTTCCATAAGTATACTGGTCCAGGTAAAAGTTAGAAGGTGTATGGTAGTATTCTAGGTAGTTTAATGTATGTCATGAATTGAACTATATCAGATATAAGATTTGCAGTAAGTGTGCTAAGTCGTTATACAAGCAACCTAAGTAAGTATCATTGGAAAGCAATGAGAAGGGTCTTGGGCTACTTGAAGCATACTCAAAACCATGCTCTGCCTTACTCGAAGTATATTGAAGTGTTGGAAGGATACAATGATGCAAATTGGATCACCCACTCTAGTGACACTAGATCCACAAGTGGGTATGTGTACACATTTGGTGGGGGTGCCGTTTCTTGAAAATCATCCAAGCAGACTTGTATAGCAAGGTCGACCATGGAAGCTGAATTTATTGCCTTAGACAAGGCCGGTGAAGAAGCCAAATAGCTACGTAACTTCCTTGAGGATGTTCTGAGGTGGCCTAAGCCAGTGCCATCTGTGTGCATACGTTGTGATAGACAAGATACACTTGGACGAGCACGGAATGTTGTGTACAACGGTAAGTCTCGACATATTCATCAAAGACATAATACAATAAGGCAATTACTCTCTAGTGGAATAATTACAATTGACTATGTGAAGTCAAAGGAAAATATAGTAGATCCGTTAACCAAAGGTGTAACTAGAGAGTTGATGTATAGTTTGTTGAAATGAATGGGTTTAAGACCATTAAATGTTGATCATTACGGACACTCTACCTAGAAGAATGGAAATCTCATGAACTAGGTTCAAAGAGAAAACCAAGTGATGATTGACCGATAAGCACTGTGGAGTTTTTTCAAAACTCATACTCATCCTAGACATGACAATGCATAAGTAAAGGGTAAACAAGTAGGCTTTTAATGAATTTTGATTTTGATGTGTTCGAATGGTGTATGTTGAGATGCACCGCTAGAAATCACCTATGTAAGTGTGAAGTGAGGGCCGTTAATTCTGTGAGAATATTACAAGTCCGTATTCTCTAATACACTTACAGAACTAGGGGTGTCCATGGTCAAAATTGACACAAACAGATGACCAATCACGTTCGAGGAATAATTGTGTGTTTCCTATTGTCTTGGTTTACACTCAAAGGTCAACGATTATAAGGCATCATATACATCGATTGACCGAGTAAACCCGTCTCACTAGGGACAGTTACAAAGCAATTGTGTCCACCGATCCCGATGCAATTGTAGCTTATTGATTAGTCGCAGATTGTACCTAGCCCGAGATGCAAATGGTCAAGGAGGATAAATTTCTTATTCATGTGGGAGATTATTGTATAAATGAGTTATAAATAAGAAATTGGAAGAGTTGTATCTTTTCATTTCGAACAGTCACGCATCTTCGCTTGCGAATAATCGCGTCTCTTCACTTACGAATAATTGCATCTCTTCGCTTGCGAAGAGTCACACCTCTTTGCTTGCGAACGGTCGCGCCTGTTCGTTTTTGAATAGTCATACCTTTTCGTCTTGTGACCATTCATCTTTATAAATACCAGTGTTCTATAAACTCAAAAATGTAGTTTTCCTGACACCTCACCAAAACTCTACCACTATTAACCCTCACATACTGCCTTAGTCTGCGATTGATCGGCGTTCGTTGTGTCTGCCAGTGTTGTTTTTTTCTGGTAGAGCCACCGTCGAAACAAAGACAACCTGTTCTATCTCGGGAGACATTTGTCCACTAACCTTAGGCACTGTAGATGAGGAAAAATTGTCTTAAGGGCACAATATTAAATACTGGGCTTGGGTTTAATTTCCTGCAATTTTTATGCTTGCATATCACATTTTGATTTTCTGTGATTACATGTGATCTTTGTGTTTTTACTGATACCACCATAACCAAAAACATAGATTTTACACTACCACCAATAACAATCTTTCATGCTCATGTTGAATTGCCTTTCTTGATATTCCTTTCACTGGTATTTGCTGCAACTAGGTTTTTTGCTGGGAACTCCCTTGCTTTTATGTTATTTTCTGGTGTGGCGTCTCCCGTGATGCTGGGTTACACCAATGTGGTTGAGAACTCCACTATTTAGACTTTTTTTTTTCAGTGTTACAATATTTTTTTAAAAAAAAGCATTTTGTTCCGATCGACCCTTCTCAACCCAATGAATTAAGCCCAATGTCAGCAGCCCACATCTAGAACTTTCTACAGGGCACCACATTTCATCACAGAGAATCTTTATTCCCATACACTACCCCCCATCGTACACCGACGATGGGTGCAAAATGCCTTGCAATAGAGGCAAGGCAAGACAAGGCTAACAGTGGTACAACTCTACCCCCCTCCCTCTCTCACGCCTTGGGAGTATCCACTCCATTATAAATACCCTTGTTCTCCCATCAAAGAGGTATATGATCTAGTTTATTTTCATAAGATATTACTCTATTGAGATTTTGAGCTACCATAGCTAAATACACCTTCCCTTATTGTAAAGATATCTGCCTAGCACACGGGTAACTCACAAAACTTTGATCCATACCATTATTACTTGGAGCATCCCTAAATCAATATATTACACCCCTTGTTAGGAGTGAAGTTACCGTGGTCCCGGACCAAATTTTTTTTGGTGGGACTGAGGTAAGAGAAAGAGAGAAAAAGTTAAGGAAAGAGGAGAGAGAAGAGAAATTTTTTTTAATACATGTGTCAATTTTTGAGTGAAAGGACCAGCGTGATCCTGAAGCACATTAAAAAATTCCCCTTATTGGATACATCTTTGATTCTAAATCCACCACAATTCACATTTATTTTATTTATTTTTTTAAAAATTATTCATATTAATACGGTCAATCCTATACACTAGCCATGAAACTTGTCCTTCCCAATTAACATGCAAAATTAATCATATTAATTTATTTTATTTTTTTACATGAAAGACTTAGCCCCTTTCACATGGCTAGACACCTTCACTGCCTCAAACTACACCCAACATTCAACGACAACAAATGTCATAGACCAAGACTAACGCATTTAGCATGTGCAAAGTCCGAGGATGTCCATGTGGCCACAGTAAACTTAATAGGGTTATATACATATCATGTTGCATGACATTCTTAGTGTCATGTTACTCTCACATGACAAATGGGACCCGCCTTGTTTTCTTTTTTCTTTTGAGTAGGATCCACGTCAAATATATTAGAGTAACATGACACTAAAAATATCCTACAACATAACATATATAAAACTCAACTTAATATGATAATTTACTCGAAAATTAACATTTTAAAATTTTATAAAATATATCACAATAACATACAAATTATGATTTATGAATACGAAAAAATCCATTAATTTTCTACACATTAATTATTAATTACATTTTACTTTTTAAAGCATTTTAGTCTGACTATAATATTTCAAAAGTATTATGTGATTTTCTAAACAATTATTATGTTCTTCAATTAAGGGGATCATTACATTAAAAGTACATTTTATTTATTTATTATTACTCTCAATTATCGTTGGCTTTTATTTTTTTTGTTCTAAGTCCCATGAATTTATAGTTATAATTTAAAAAAAAAAATATGTTATGAAATATAGGACTTTTTTATGAATCTAAATACACCTTTGCAGCATGCCTTAGTTTTTAAAATATAACAGATAATAACTAAGGATTTTATAATTTTCCTTTCATATAAAATATTTATTTATGTTGTAGAAAGAAAATCGATGTGTTCTGTCATTGTATAAAAAAAGAAAAAAATATGAGATGCAAAAATTAAAATAAAATAATATGAGAGAAGTAATCTTAATTAAATAGAGAGTAATATTTTCCAATAACTAATGGTAATACCCTCTCCTCTATTAATTTTTTTTTGAAGTGTTGTCATGATTAGAAATGGAGTTCTGAGTTGACTCGGGTTAGGCAATGAAGAAAACACAGAGAAAACACAAAATAGAAAGGGTATCATAAGCCTAGGAAAAAAGCAACCAATAAAATTTCCGGGCAAGGATCATTGACATGGCATTAAATTTAAAATCCCTCTTAAACCCCTGCTATTATTTTCATTTCGCATGCAAATGCAATTGAATTTCAATTTCCCCAAAAAGGACCTTCTTAATAATATCTCTTGGTCCTTTCGCATCTAATACATAGTCATACACACACCCACACACTTCTTTCTCTGACTCTCTCTGTCTCTCTCCTTCGACGAAACCCTAACTCATATCAGGTACGCAATTTTCTTCTTCTTTTTTCCCATTTTTCTCAGTCATTTAAGCCTCTAGAACTGATCCAATTCTTCAATTGCAGTTTTCGTTATGAAAGGTGGAAAATCCAAGGCCGAATCTAAGAGAGCCGATGCCAAGTAAGTATCATTTGGATTTGGATTTGGATTTGAATTTTTCAATTAACTTCAATCACTTCATTTTAACTCGCCTAAAAAAGGAAAATTATTAGGATCAGAACTTTTCTTCAGATCCGAGATCTGAATTTGAGTTTGATTTAATCTCATATATGTTTATGATTGCAGACTTTCTGTGAATAAGAAGGGTGGCGCAGCCACCAAACCGGCGAGGAAACCAGCGAAGGGAAAAGCCGCTAAAGACCCTAACAAGCCTAAGAGGCCTCCCAGTGCCTTCTTCGTTTTCATGTAATTATAATTTTTTATTATTATTATAAGTATTATTTTTTCTTTTTTTGCATTTCTCGCCAAAATATTTAATCTTCTAAAATTAAACTTTGGCATGTCGAGCGTGTTAAATTGATTATTGTTTTAACCTATTAAATTTATTTATGGATTTTTTTTTTGTTTATTAAAGGGAGGAGTTTAGGAAGCAGTTCAACAAAGAACATCCTGACAACAAAGCAGTCTCTGCTGTAAGTGTTTTTCTTTAAATTGTTCGTATCAGTTATCAAATCCTTTAATTGGTGAGCTGTTTAATAAATTTCAGGTTGGCAAAGCTGCTGGAGCGAAATGGAAGACTATGTCTGATGCTGTGCGTTTCTAAGCCATAAATTTTGGTTGGAGTGCTATTTGATGTTGGTATTAAAACAATGTTGGTGTTTTTTTTTAGGATAAAGCACCTTATGCGGCAAAGTCGGAGAAACGAAAGGCAGAGTATGAGAAGAATATGAAAGCCTATAACAACAAACAAGTGGGTACATCTTTTGTTGTCGTTTTTATTGCCTTGAAATGTGCAACTAATAGTTTCTTTTTGATCATTTCTCAGGCTGAAGGTCCTGCTGCGGATGAAGAAGAATCCGAGAAATCAATGTCAGAGGTGGATGAAGGAGATGATGATGGGAGTGACGAGGTTTGCTTTTAGTCTTTTGTCTATTATCTGAGATTTATTGCCTTAAAACATTTTCATCTTATTTATTGTTCTATAATGTGCAGGAGGAGGATGATGACTGAGAATAGCATTTATTTAGGATTTTCTGATGATGATTCGATCATGATAAACATATATTCCTGCTCCCTCAGTAAATTTCTTTTGCCTTCCTAAAGTGAAAGGAGCACACCTTTATTTGTACTTTTAACTTCAAGTGTTTAGCTAAGGGGCATTGATCTCTTGTAGAGCTTTTAGTTGATTTAGTTTATATCAATGAATTCTGGTTACTTCTGTATTAAAATATTGGCGTCTCTCTCTCTGTGCCTGTTGTATCATTGGATGTATATACGTGATGAATGTTTCTCTTCTTTCCGTGAGGGCTAAGTAGCATTTTGTACTTTTTTTATTCTTTGGTAGTGGGAACTAACGGTGACTGGCTATAATTTTGTTTCGAGTGCCCTTGTATATGAACATTCTGTTTCTTAGGATATGTTTTGAGAGAGGAGGAAAGTGAAGATTTTAGTTCAACTTCTTCCCCCAAGTATGGCAATGATGTGATGAATTTTCGTATATTTTTTTTTGTGAATATTAAGTTTTATTCAATCATATGTTTAGGATTTCAGAAGATTTTTATCCTTCAAAAATCCCGTTATAGCTTTTGTCGCTGTTTTGTGGTGGCCTTTCGTATGAATTCTTGAGCACTTTGATGAATGAATCTTTTTCTGCTCTTGCATGGGATAGCAGTTGCTGTTGTGTTATTCTTATAACTTACGGCACTTTTTCACATTCATTTTGGTTGGCAGGTTTTCTTATAGGAAATCTGTTTTGATAGTATACTATTGAGTATTTAATGCAAGATGATATGGTGACGAATTTGTTTAGTGGATGTCTTATATCGAGGACTATAATTTAGTAAGTGGATGTTTTATATCGAGGACTATAATTTGCTAATATTTTATTTTTGCCATAACCGCATAATAGTTTGAATCTAAATTCTGAATTTTCATCTTTCATACTAGTACCACTACCGTTATAGAATTGAGTTGCGACGGAGTGGCCACTATCAATGTTCATGTTTTGGCTTTATCGTTTGGTGGCCCGTGACATGTAATCTGCATTTTTTTGTATGGCTGATTCCTATGTATTACTAGTGCGCAGTGAGTAGTTTATGTGGCTATTACTTCTGATCCATGATTGTAAATTTATGTGCAATGAAGTCGTTTCTGATGATGGAATTAGTGCTTCCCTTAAATTGTTTCGTGTTCTGTATTTTTCTATTTTGAATTTTTTTAGTGATGCGTATTTGGAGCACTAATTCCCTATTGTATTGGTTAGCGTGGTGGGCCTGGTGGCCAATAATTTTTATAGTTTCCGTTGGATTTTGCGTCATGGATGTCTTTTAGATTATGAAAGTCATAAGGAAGTTTGTTCGTTGTGTCTAGCTCCGATTAAGCCTGGGTTCACGGTAGGGTTATTGTGTACGTGCTGTTTATAATGAATGTCATTTTGTGGCTAATTTGTTTTTCGTAGACTTGTGGCTAATTGGTTTGATTGACTGTTTAATTACAAAGTATTTGGTGCCACGAGGGTTCTGTTTTAAGGGCTTTATTAGTTTTTTTTTTTACATAAGATAACTATCTTATGTTGTAGAGAGAAATGGGTGGGTTTCGCAATTATAAGAAAAAAAAAAGTGGGGTGCAAAAATTAAAGTAAAAGAGCATGAGAGAAGTTATTTTATATAAAAAAAAGTAATATTTTCTTTGTTTTAAATGTTTTTATGCGTTAATCACTAGTTGTATTTCTTGTTGAGCAAGACATTTAGAAATTGGTATGTATCCAATTGCACGAGGGTTAGAATCCGTGGAGTCAAGATGGAGAAGTACTATATTACAATAAAAGGAAGTAATCAAAAGAACTCATAGTAAGTCTGAAAAAATAGATGTGTGAATGATGCAAAAATTGAAGGAATTCGAGCCCATCAAAAGTTGTCTTTTGAGGCAATTTATTTCGTCATTATGGATGCTAAAGGTTCATGAACAATATCTAATGAATTGACATTTTCAAAATGATAACACTATCGATCAGAAGTTCTCACGAACACAATTGAATGTCTTCGGATTTGGTAGTGCCGTAACATTCTAAAGACGTAATCCGTTCTATCCTGGGATACAATTGTCCACATTCCTTTGGCTCTGATAGAGGGGATAAGTTATCTTAAGGAGATAACATACGTTGGGCTTAGATTCTTTCTGCATACAAGCATATGTTTCTAATATTCTAAGAGTTTGTTCATACCTTTTTTATTGTACTTTGCTTGTGGGATTAATTACAATATTTTCGTTACACAAATTCAAATCTCTCGGTTATTACACCGTCTAATCTAGTTGTAACAGAATAATGGTTTATTAATGGAGTCCAATAAAGATAACAATTTGTAGGATGACTGTTGGCATTGGGAACATCATATCACAGATTAATTAATAATTTTCCTTGCCCATATTTACTCTGCTCCTTATTTAGTGTAATATTTTCCATTTACATTGTACCAATTTTTATTGTGTACATATTTTCTTTGATCACCTAACTTCACAATCAACTCATTTAAATTTTTTTAATTTTTATTTTGAGTTATGGGTATCTATTTGTAGATAAGGATATGTAACACCCCGTGTATACCCGGAATATTAACATTACATCGTATTAAGCGGTGCTTAATTAAAAATGCGGAATATTCTTTTTCTTTTCAATTATGACGTCATTATCAATTACCAACTTGATTACTTAATCAATTTCATAAAATATCGCCTGTATGTAAATTGCAATAAGACAACTACTGAAATACCTCAATATATAGATAAAGTGTGTATCTAAATCACGGCATTACATCAAGTAATCCGAACAATATCCTGATACATTATTACAACTCCAAAAGACTCAAGACATAATCAAGACATAATAGTACTATGTGTCATGGACAATCCCCATGCTCACCAAATAAACATAGTAACAACAAGTCTCAACATAAAACTCCATAAACATAAACTGAAGCTATAAGCATAAGCAGCATGCAAATCCAGCATCCAAACATGGCAGCATAATGTAACAACAATCTAACTCAGCTCCGGCCTCCTGCCGCCTGAGGTCTCAACATTACCTGACCCTGAAATAAGCATTCCCCAAACGTGGGGTGAGATCCCTAAACTAGAAATCTCAGTAAGACAAGGGGTCCTCAAGGATCTTCCACCCCAAGCTCACTTACATGTGCAATATAAGTTCAAAAAGCATTTATATCATTATCAGTTCCAAAACTATGTAGTGCAACAGATATCTATGCATTGGGTGTAATCACTATCTACTGGCCAGAGAAATGTAGGAATACGTCTATTCCCTACATGTAGTACAAGGAACACCGCTTGCACCTCACCCACAGCCTCACCCTCTTGTATGTTCCACATACTCAGGCTTACCGTATAGGTGGAACACCTCCATGCATATCAACAAGGCACTAACATATAATAGCTCAACAGCATTTCCAAAACATCCAAAAGCATGTAACACAGCATGCATATACACATGGTGGAACTAAAACATGGCTAAACCGAGGACACGAAAGCTTACCTCTAAGCTAGCTATCCAATGCCACAAGCTCAAAGTCCAATCACAACAGATCACAATCTGATATGGACCAAACATAAATCAATAACATGTACCACATGCATACAAATTAAAGACAACGCCTTTTCATTACGTTTTCAAGTCTTAAAGCTTCTAACAAAGCCACAAGCCCTAAATCCCATGATTCTGGCTTAATCCATTAAAAACAGAAGTTCAACTTCATCAATCTAGGGTCTACAAACCCCCAATAGCCTACTGTATGCACAACACAGCTACTGTTCTGCAAAATCCCAGAATATCCGGATATCTCATTGTCCATATCCGGATATACAGATTCACATATCCGGATATCAAATATCCGGATATCCCAAAACCACGTATCCGGATATCCAATATCCGGATATCAGTTCGACAGATATCCGGATATCTCACGACAGAATGCAGTTTCTGCATTTTCGTGAAGATATCCCTTAAAGGTTCCCTTTTTACCGATTTTAAACACCTAATCATGCATTTCTAGATGTGTTAAGCCTCACCCAACAAGTTATCATCTTTTAACCTTAACATGCATCAAGCTTTCATTTTTAAGCCTTAAAACTCAAGTTAAAGGTTGATATACATACCAAAGCTCAAAAACAGCAAAGAGAGATGCTCTTGGAGCTCACAACCAGACTCAAGCTACTGCCACAAGAGGATGCACGAAAATGAACACAAGATGACTCTTTTACTCAACAAGAAGACACCTTGAAGCATCAAAATGCCAACAAAAGGTCACACCCCTCAAGAACAGCAAACACAGCTCTTCAAACTCCCTCACACAGGTTCTCTAACTCAGAAACACCACCCCAATGTAGTCCCAAGGCCAACCCTCACCCTCACCAAGTGTTTAAATGGAAGAACAAGCCTCAAAGGTGGAAGCTTGCTCAAGAAATGGAAGGGAAGGCAATGGAACAATGTATGAGGTGCAAGTCAGCCACCAAGTCACGTAGACAAATCTGAGTGCCTAGGGTTATGTGCTAAAATGCATATATATAGCCAAAACTCACTTAAGCACACAATATTAAATTTAATTTCTACGCTTAGAATTTTAATCCCAAACTTTGGATTATGAAACTAAATAATTTTCTAAGAATTATCATATTTTTCTTATATTTTTCTGAGTACCTTTCTGGTACGCGCTTTTCAAAGCCAGTACCGGTTTCTAGCACCAGTTTTCATTATTTGGACATGAAACTCGTTTTACAAGTCCTACATGTTATTCTAGTAATTATCATGCTTAATTTAATTTTCCGGGATACTTTTTCGGTACACATTTATACCGACTAGCAGAACCGGTATCTGCACTTTTCTTCCGAAAAGCGACTTTCAGCATTCTTAATCACTTATTATGATTATTAAGCCTCATAAATAATTATTAGGGTCAATTATGGAATCATTTCTTATTTTTGATTAATTAATTAAATACCTTAATTAACGGTGCGGGTTCTTACAGGATACGTATGCAAAAATATTGTGGGATTCAATGTCATTATTCCTGAGATGGATGCAATACATGAGCTTGTGGATTGGAATGATCTTATTGCAGGCCAGCTTAAGGAGTTCTTGTTATCTAATTTGAAAGCAGTTTTAAATGGTACAATCAAGCAGATTGTTAAATTTGGCTATAGTGAAG